AGTCAGGAATACATGCATGACAGTTGTTATCCATTCGTTTGATGTGTTTGAGCTTTTGATTTTGCCTTTTGATAAGGAACTTTCCGTTTTGAATTTTCCTCAGAGTTTGGTTTTTTTATTATATTTTACTTTTTATTCTCCATTTGATTTTTTATTAGTATAAGAATTGGTTAGAGTTCTAATATTTCAAGCGGGCCCCTGAAAAAAAAAAAATTGGGGCCCAACTAGCCCCTGGAGAAAACAAGTTATGTCTTTTTTGATAGAGACATAATATGGTATGATATTTTTAGAATAAGGCATTTTGTTGAAAGCAACATTGGCACTGCGTAGGCTGGTTGATGTGATCTCTATCCCTGTCCAATTCAAATTATCCTTTTATTGTATTTGTATCTCTTTCCCCTCAGAGATATCAGCTCATTGATAATTTTGTTTAATTGATAAACATTAACATGATTAATATATTTAAATTGATTTTTGCCAAAATTTGTTAAAGATAGTAAAGGACAAGTATCAGGTTATTTAATTATGATATTCTTGCAAATACCTGAACATATGTTTGTGTGCAGGTGTGTGAATAAACATGCAAAAATTCAGTTCTTCTTTGTTTGTTGAATTACAATCTTAGTAAAATCAGCTGTTTAATTGGCTTAGCTTTGTTCCAATCCTTGCAACAGACTGTTGTAAGTTGCAGTAACATCTCAGTTGTCAATGATAAAGTTTGAAATTTCCATTATTTAAAAGTTTCATTTTAGAAGATTTGCAATACCTAGTTAGCCTCATGAAGAGAGATATCTTGTGATACGCACAAATTGATTTAGAAAGACTATTTATCTACAAAATGAACAAGAACTATAGTGTCCACTCACCTGGACTTATACCCCGTGTCATTGTGGTTTGTTGTTTATATAATCTAGTGAAATATTGCAAGTTGATTATATAAATTTGGACATTTTTTATTTTTAGCTCACTGGGCCCAAAGGGCCCATGTGAGCTTACGCCATCACTTGCCGTCCGTCGTTGTCTGTCGTCATTGTCATCATAACCTATTTCAAGAATCTTCTCCTCGGAAACTACTGGACCAAATACCTTCAAACTTTAACTAAATGTTTCTTAGGGTATCTAGTTTATAAATTGTATTCAAAGTTTTGATCCATCAACAAACATGGCCGCCATGGCTAAAAATAGAACATAGGGGTCAAATACAGTTTTTGGCTAATATCTCAAAAACTAAAGCATTTAGAGCAAATATGACGGAGTAATAATGTTCAATAGGTCAAGATCTATCAGCCCTGAAATTTTCAGACGAACCGAACAACCCATTGTTGGGATGCTGCCACTAAATTGGTAATTTTAAGGAAATTTTGCAGTTTTTATACGATCGCAAAAAATTTTTACGGACGTATATTAGAATGACGTTGGCGAAGACACATTGGTTTTCGCACAATAACTTTAGTTTAAGTGAATGGATCTCTTTGAAATTTTACCATAAGGTTCAATACTACAAAAGGAAGGTTGGGATTGATTTTGGGGGTTATGGTACCAACAGTTATGGAATTAGGGGCCAAAAAGGGGCCAAAAATAAGCATTTTTCTAGTTTCCAGACAATAACTTGTGGAACGGTGTATGGATCTCTCTGAAATTATACCACAAGTTTCCATACCACAAAGGGATGGTTAGGATTTGTTTGGGAGGGGTTATGGCTCAAACCGTTTAGGAATTAGGGGCAAAATAGGGGGAAAAACAAGGGTGTCCTGGTTAATGGACAATCAATTTAGTACAAAACATAATTTAAGCAGTGTAAGGGAGGTAATTCAAATACATCATTTGAATTACCTCCCTTACACTGCTATTGAATTATGTATAAAGTAATGGTTAATGAACAAATAAGACGCAACGGCATAGTGTATTGCACAAAAGCAAAAAATTGAATATAAATTCAAATCATATAACTAATTCTAAGTTCTTTGACTACAGTTATTCTGTGTCAGAAACCCTTTATGTGTCAAATATTTAATTACAATCCAAATTCAGACCTGTATCAAGTGCCAATATTGCGTCCATTTTTGCCCCAACTGTTCAGGGTTGGACCTTTGCGGTCATATCCAGCTGCACTCGGCGAAGCAATTTATTGGTGATTATCTTGAATTTTATTGAAGATAAAGATAAACTATAAATAGCAAAAATATTCAGCAAAGTAAGATCTACAAAAAAAGTTAATATGACCAAAATTGTCAATTGACCCCTTAAGGAGTTTTTACCCTTTGAAGACAATTTTAAACAATTTGTTCATCATGTTTGCTAACATTTGAAAATCTTCTCCTCTGAAACTACTTCGCCTAATACTTTTAAACTTTAACTGAATGTTCTTTAGGGTAACTGGTTTATAAATTGTATCCGAAGTTTTGATCCATTAACAAACATGGCTGCCATGGCTAAAAATAGAACATAGGGGTCAAATGCAGTTTTTGGCTTTTATCTCAAAAACTATAGCAGTTAGAGCAAAAGTGACATGGAGTTTAAGTAATGAATAAGTCAAGATCTATCTGCTATGAAATATTCAGACCAATTGGACACCTATGGTAGGGTTACTGACCGAAATAGTTTATTTTTATGAAATTTTACTGTTTTTGGTTATTATCTTTAATATTATAATAGATAAAGAGAAAGTGTAAATGGCAAAAATGTTCAGCTTAGTAGGATCTACAAACAAGTCAAATGATCAAAATAGTCAATTGACTCCTTAAGGAGTAATTGCCCTTGTAAGTTTTATTTTTTATATTTTTTCGTGCATTAAGTCTATTACTTTTTCAAAAATCTTCTTCTCTGAAACTACTAGGCCAATACTTCCAAACTTAAACTGAATGTTCCTTAGGGTATCTGGTTTATAAATTTTATCTGAAGTTTTGATCCATCAAAAACATGGCCGCCATTGCTAAAAATAGAACATAGGGGACAAAAGCAGTTTTGGGTTTTTATCTCAAAAACAACAGCAGTTAGAGCAAAAGTGAAAAGAAGTTAAATGATAAATAGGTCATGATCTATCTGTTATAAAATTTTCAGACAAGTTCGACAACCCAATGTTGGGTTACTGTTGGAAATAGTTTATTTTTATTAAATTTTACTGTTCAATGTTATTTTCTTTAATATTATAGTAGAAAGAGAGAAAGTATAAATGGCAATAAATGTTCAGCTAAGTTAGATCAACAAAGAAGTCAACATGATCAAAATAGTCAATTGACCCCTTGAGGAGTCATTGCCCTTAAAACGTTTTTTTTTTTTTTACATTTTTTGCAAAAGTCTAATTACTTTTTCAAAAACCTTCTTCTCTGAAACTACTTGACCAAATACTTAAAAAATTTACTTGAATGTTCCTTAGGGTATCTGGTTTATAGATTGTTTTGGGGATTTGATCCATTTAAAAACATGGCGGCAGTTTCTTGAAATAGAACATAGGGGTCAAATGAATTTTTTGACTTTCATCTCAAAAACTAAAGCAGAAGGAGCAAAACTGACATAGGTGAAAGTGTTAAACAGGTTTAGATCTACCTGTCAAGTCATCTTTAATATTATTATAGAAAGAGAGAAAGTGTAAATGACAAAATTGTTCAGCAAAGTAAGATCTACAAATAAGTCAAATGCCTGAAACTGAAATTACAGGTGAGCGATATCAGGCTCTCATGAGCCTCTTGTTTATATGATGACGTCTCAGATGGATTTTTTTGGTATCATTTGTAGTTTGAATGGCTGTGTTTCAGCATGGGCAAAGAATATTGTTCATATGACATGTATAACATAACATGATTTAACATGTTGAATTTATATATGAGTTAAAATTAAAAGGGACTAGCTTACAGAAACCTCAATGGACCAGAAAATCCTAACCACATGCACATCTGCATATTAATATGATATGACAATGTATCAAGTATTTAGGTAGGATAAACCGTAATGGAGGATTTTAGCAGCAATGTCATTGTCAGTTCTGCCATAATTTCTACGTTAAAAAAAAAATCAATGGAAGATGTTTGATGATGAATGGGTGTTTAACGTCATGTGGCAAATTAAATGCATGTTCAGGACAAGTTAATGTGATATGAATATTAAGCCTGTTATGTACAATATAAAATGTGGTACACATGTATAATTGCCAATGAGACTACTATATATCCACCAAAGTTCAAATAAAGTGGATGTAAGGATTTATAGGCAACTGTACGGCCTTCAACAGTGAGAAAAACCCATACCATATAGAATATAGTCGGCTATAATGGCCCCGACATGAAAAATATGAAACTATTCAATTGAGAAAACTAACGGCCTAATTTATAATAAAACAATTTACTAAAATATCAATCAGTATCTAATGGATTTAGGGTACAGACATCATTAACAGTCAGAAGACTGACATGCTGAGCATGATTTTTTAACGTGTTGTTTCACAGGGTGACAGCCCTGAGAAAGAAAATGTAACCCTACCTGGACTAGTTAGTCTGACTCTATCCGAGCAGACCATTCTTTCCTCTTTCTCCTTAATGCCACATGCTTAGGGGAGAAGCAGTAAACATAAATTTTAAAATCTGGTCTAAAAGAGTATAATCCATTTATAAAGGTAGGAGCTAGAGTTGCAATGGAAAGATTGGTTCTGACAAAACTTGAAAGTTGAAAGGTGCAAAACTAGCAAAAACCCAATGAATTTGAAAATCACAGCCTCATACTCATCTACATATTAGGATATAACAATGTACACAGTTTCATGTAGATGGGAAAAACCATGTAGAAGTAGTTTAGATGACAAGGTAAAAAATTCTAAGGTTTTTAAAGTTGGGAAATCTAGGTTTCAAGAGGTAGCTCTATTGAAGTGAATTAAACCAAGGATAATAAAGTTAATCTTGACAAACAGAAGAAGGGCCTCCTATATTCCCTGAGTCCCCAAACTTTGTTTGCAGGGGTATAAAAAAGAAATACAAATTAAAAACTATATACATATGATCTATTTATAGATTGAAAGAATACAAAACAAAACGTTATACCAACAGTTTGTAGCAAAGAAGAAATCAATGGATGCAACCAATCCTAAAACCGTCAACAATGAAAAACAACTGTGGCATGGATTTTCTGTCGATGCCTTGGACAGTATAAATAGATATGGCTTTAACAGGAGTTATTGTGGAAAAAATGGTAAATACCAAATTTGTTTTTTATTTTTAAATGTAATAACATAACTTGTTCCTTTTGTGATCCACACTTTTGACAAATACATGATACTTATATTATTTGCGAAAAGGGTATTCAAAGCAGACTAAAAACTTCTAAAGTATAACCCAAATATTTTGATTTTGAACTCTTTTATTAGCTCACCTGCAAGTGAGCTTTTCTGATCACTTGGCGTCCATCGTTAATCTTCTCCTCTGTAACTACTGGGCCAAAGTTAAGCAAACTTGGCCACAATCATCATTGGGGTATCTAGTTTAAAATATGTGTCCGATGACCAGGCCGCCAACCAAGATGGCCGCCATGGCTAAAAGTAGAACATATGGGTAAAATGTAGATTTTGGCTTATATCTCTGAAACCAAAGCATTTGGAGCAAATCTGTCAAAAGGGCAAAATTGTTCATCAGGTCAAGATCTATCTGGCCTGATTATTTTAGACAAATCAGACAACCCGTTGTTGGGATGCTGCCCCTGAATCTGTAATTTTAAGAAAATTTTGCAGTTTTTGGTTATTATCTTCAATATTATTATAGATAGAGATAAACTGTAAACAGCAATAATGTACAGCATTATTTATAGTCAATTTTTAACAATTTTTCGTAAATTTGTAATCTTTTACAAAAATCTGAAACTACTGAGACAAAATCAACCAAACATGGCCACAATCATCATTAGGGTATCTAGTTTAAAAAACATGTCCGATGACCCCGCCTTCCAACCAACATGGCCGACATGGCTAAAAAATAGAACATAGGTGTAAAATACAAGTTTTGTCTATTATTTTTTGAACTGTTATAAATAGAGAAAAAATCTGAAAGGAGCAAAAATGTTCAGAATAATGAGCTCTACCAATTGTCCATATACGTCAAAACCGTTAGACAAAGTCTTATAGGAGTTATTGCCCATAAATTACAAATTTTACCATTTTTTTTTCATTTTTGCCTATTATCATGAGAGAGAGAAACATTTTTTTTTCCGTTATGCCTTATATGATATAAATTATAATAGATAGATAGACACTTTAAATCACAAAAATGATCAGCAAGGCAAGATCTATTAAAAAGTCAAATTTTGCTGATATAGTTAGTAGACTCTTAATAGGAGTGATTGCCCTTAAATGAGGATTTTTTTTACCCTCTTTTGTGTTTTGAGCAAACACTAAAGAAGATAGAGAAAAACTAAACAGACTAAAAAATCAGTAATACAAGATCAACAAAATAGAGATTTTTGTCATGAAGTCTATTCTCGTCTACAATGTTGGAGAGTGTCCTTTGTTTAATATGCACATAACACAGGCTCTTTAGAGCCTCTAGTTGACTTTAGGGTCAATAGGTTAAAAGTAAAGGTCACTTTTACTAAATGTTGTTGGAAACATGGCTTCTAGATTGTAGCTTGAGTGTCCCTTACTTGATTAGAATGAAACTTATACAGATAAAAGATATAGGTAGTGAGAAGAAGTCTATTGATTTTTGAGTTGATATGTCAAGGTTCAAGGTCACTGTTTAAAAGAAACTTTAAATATGGTAATTTGAGTTTCCCTTACTTGATTTGAATGAAACTTATATACAGCTCAAAAATATATGGAAGGGGAAAAAGACTTTATTTTGGGGGGTCGAAAGGTCACTTCTGGGTAATTTTTACTGCAAATAGGTTTAAAAAAGAAAAGAAAAATGGTAGCTTGAGTTTCTTATGCTTGATAGGAATGAAACTTATATAAAGTTCAAAGTTAAAGGGAAGGGAGTGAATCCTTTTGATTTTGGGGTCAAAGGTTTAGGTCAGACCATCACTGTCAATAAAAAAGAAATATTTTAGAAGTTTATTTCGGTTGGTTACCCCACTGAATTGTAACACATTCATAAAGGTGGAAAATTAGCAATAATGGTGCATGTTTATTTATCCCTCCATTAGCATACAAGTATTTTGAACAGTTCAAAGTCAAAATTTTTGGTCTCAATAAATGTGCAGTTAAGGGAGCTTCAGTTTGCGGTGTCAGCTTTTAAAGTGTACAAGTTTTATCATTGTTTTTTTTTTGTCCCCTCAATAGTTGGCATGGACCTAAGGCATGCATATTTTATCTAGCAGCAGGTTACTTTTTTTAATTAATTTGATGACATCATTGGATAAAGCAGAAAATATGGAAATATGATTCTTAAGTTAACATGAGTATAGATTAAGATAAATACACAATATATGTAAGAGCCATTATAAATTATGTCTTCAAGCATTATCTTTGTGTTGATTTAAATTGTTTGATGGGATCTTGGAAATGTTTGTGATACAGTTATCATACTTTGAACCTGAATAGACTATTTTCATATTACTGACTTTTGACGAGGGAGTATATAATTTTTTCAACAGGTTAACTATTCTGAGGTAGGACATTCCGGTACTTGATCAACTAAAAGAAGTAAAATCATATATATTTAAACATACTTTGGAGTCAAAAGTCATATGAAAGTAGTCTACTGTTTTATTCTGTCTGAGTAAATTGAGATCAAGCAGACACCAACCCATCAATACAAAAATACTATCATTCAGAGATCATGATAATTAACACAAATTCTATTAAGGGGGTACCCAAAACTTTGACTAAAATAGATATATGGCTTGTCTAATTTCATAAAATTTTGACAAAATATTTGTTTTGACCTGTTGACAAGAACATGAAAATTTAAGAAATTGGAACCACACAATTTACAAGAATAATTTCATTGAATACATAGCAGTTTGACAAACATTAATTTTGATCATTGAGAAGCTTGATTTCTCCTTACTTAAAGTATGTGATTAAAACGTTCAGTTGATTTTTAAAGAGTTAACTCCCTTAGGTGTTCTGTACCCCATTAAGTTCTCTTAAATATAAGGACAAACCAAATGTATATATAAAGACTAAGTTGTCAATTATAACTATCTGTATAGATAGAAATAAAGTATGATACTGTAATGTGGTATGCATTTCATAATAACCTTCACAAAGCAAGAGAGTTTGGAAACTTCTCAGAGCATGGAAATCAAAAGGTCCAAAAAAGAGATTTCAAGAGAGATAAATTTTGCCTGACATAGTTGTCATCCTAGTTTTTGTAAAATTAATTACTTTTTGAACAGAAAATATAAAAAAAACATTTAAGCCATGCCATTCAAGAGTACTGAATAAGTTGTATGAGAAGGCGTTTAAAGTCTTGAAGGATCTCTCTTGACAAGTTTTATATAAAAAAATAACAACATAAAAACTTCTCTTTCTTACAGCTGTTGCATTTGGAGCTGGTGTTTATTTTGCTGTTGAAGTAAGATATTCAATTCAAGATACCTACTCAAGGCCTGACCCCAGTGGACACAAAAGAATGTACCTCTGTAGAGTACTGACAGGAGAATTTTGTAAAGGTCTAGGAGGAATGAGAGTTCCACCAGCCAAACCTAATGCTGCTGGAAGTCATATTTTATATGACTCAGTTACTAATGATATGAACAATCAAATTATGTATATTATTTTCCATGATTCACAAGCTTTCCCAGAATATCTTGTAACATTCAAAAAAGGTTGATTTAAGTCTATCTTCAATTAATTGTGCAGATTTACAAAATTCCTCTAGACGATGAATGATTGTGTACTAATGAAATATTTATATATATATATACTTTTCAATTTTGTGTAATAAAGAATTAATTTTGAAAATACTTTCTTAATTTAAAGAGAAGATGATCATGTTCAAATATTCACAAATGGGATTTAAATATTTCATCACAAGTCTTTATGCTTATGACTCAACTTTGTGCAGTGGCACCCTTACCAAGATTCATGCTAGAGGTAGGAAAGTGTTTTTGAATATCAAATATAAGTATGTAGCTAGCAAGAAAACCAGATTTAATCCACCATTTTCTACACAAGGAAATGCTTGTATCAAGTCAGGAATATGACAGAATGTTTTTCATTCATTATTGTGTTTGAGCTTTTTATTTTGCCATTTGATAAGGGACTTTCCGTTTTGAATTTTCCTTGGAGTTCGGTATTTTTATGCCCCTGCCGTAGCGGAGGGGGCATTAAATTTTACCCTTGTCTGTCTACGTCTGTCCGAACATATGTACGTCCTTACGTCCCAAAATTGGTTTCCGTTTTCTAACTTTAGTTTGCCTCAACCAAATATTATGAATCTTATACACAATGCTTATTACCACAAAACACAGATCAAGTTTGAATTTTGGTGGCGTCACATTTACCGTTCTAGAGTTATGCCCCTTTACGAATGGAAAAATTGCTGAATTTTTCGTTACCGTTCTCTAACTTTAGTTTGCCTCTACCAAATGTTATGAAACTTATACACAATTCTTATTACCACAAAATACAGATCAAGTTTGAATTTTGGTTGCATCACTTTTACTGTTCTTGAGTTATGTTCCTTTATAACATTATATGCAAGCGTGGGTATCATCTGTGTCCCATGGACAAATTCCCAATTTATTGTTATTTTATGTTTTAGCATTTATATCTCTAAAGATATATTAAGGGTAAGGTTCGTTTTCCGAACACAAATCATTGCATGGTACTATTATCAATCACATTGTTTAAGCATCAAACGAAGGACATTCTGGAAATGTCAATATTTGCCAAGCCTTGATTACACAACTTTACTGTGATAAGACATCATAATTGAGATTTTTAGATTTTTGACAAAAACTGTATTAAGGCTTATTTGATGAACATTTTGGCTAAATTAACATGGAGCACAAGTGTCACCCAAAACACTATTTTTGTAAGTGAATAGATAAACAAAAAATACACTTACTGTGGTAATATTTTGTTTATGAAATAAGTAAGACTGCACAGTGCTCTACAATATTTCTCTGTATAACCCATGCAAAATATAAATTATAATCCAGAAAAGTCATGTGTAAGTAAGGTTCAAAGATTAAACAGTTGATTTTAAGAAACAGAGATAGTTTGATCTACATTTGATTAATAATGTTGGTGCTAATTTGTCCCCAAATTATACCTTCTCCATTAAAAATGTGTGAAAAAAGATATCTTAATATACAGAATGTCTGTAAAGGTTGCAAAAAATGCTTTGAATTATTGCTGATATAATTTTCAAAAATCTACCTAAAGCATTTTTTTTTAATATGATAGGTTATTTGTATTAATGAACGTTTACCTTTATAAAACATGTAAAAGATGGTATCAAACTGCAAAATAATTTTTGTCTAGCCTAAACAGAGATTAATAAGGAAAGTTAGGTATGCTGTTTCCAGCGGCATACTGATGTTGGCGGAGTCAATAATTTGTTAAATATTGTGATTAGGTCAGTTTAAAGGGAACCACTAATGGTAGATCAATGATATTTGGTATGCAGTTATATAAGCATTGGCACATCTCATTTCCATGGAGATTATTTTGACACCAACAATTTCCACCCCCACCTTAGTGATGGTCTGCTTACTTTGAAACTTTTGCATGGTTTACATATTAAAGTTTGTGATTAGGTTAGTTAACGAAGAAGCACATATGGTCCATGAACACAGTTATCATCCCTTGATTTTCGTTGTCCACGAATATAGTCCCTAGTGTGGACAGTGTGTTACTTACCATTTTTTTTATACCTCTTCCAAATGTTTTTCTTCATGTTTTATGCCTCAAATAGCAAGAAGGGAGATAGAACTACTCTGTAAAAAAATTTGGGTCATGAATTTTAAAGTAAAGTAGTGATTTGTTCCAGCTGAAAAAGGTTAAAAATTAGCACTTTGGAAGCTGTCAAAAGATTTCAAGACCCCCTTAACATGAAATTGTCCATAATTTGAGTTAGAGCCGATGAAGTTTTCTATAATGTTGATATAATTAGTCCCAACAAGTAGTACTACACACTGAAAAAATATTATTGAGAAAGCGGGATTTTTTTTATTTTCATTTATTGTCTAAAAGAAATGCATTACGAAATAACTGTGTACTCCGACCATATAAAAGGTCAATGATATTTTGTTTGCCATTGTATTAACATTGGCATGTCTTATATCTAAGAAATTATTTTGGCCTAGCTGTTTCTAAAGAGCATACGATACAATTTCGATCCCACGGTGAATTTTTGACGAAAATTTGCATACAAACTATTTTTCACCTATTTAAATATGTAATAAAAATATACCTTCATGAGCTACTTAAAGAGATAAATGGAGTCGAAATTTTAGACATTTACTCAAAATTTAGTTTTTTGGGATATTTCTATCCTTTGGATAGACATACCTAACTTTTTTGTTTCAAAAGATAAACACAAGAGGATTGTTGTAAAAACATTTGGAAAATCTTCTGTACTCTATGCTCTAAATTTGTATAACAATTCTTTGGAAATAATTTATTTCTATCAAAGTTTTTAGAAAAAAACCCGGCATTTTTTACTGTATATCTATCTAATTAAAAAAATTTATAGGGGACTTTTTCATTAGAATTGGTACAAATAATCTTCATACGTAATAAAACTATATGTCATTTTAAAAAAGAAGGGTCCATGAACTCGTTTTCAAGTTTAATAATTCTGAATGATAAAAATCAGTCACAAAATGCATCTTTTCCCGATATGTCACAGTTTGACGTCACGAAAAATATCATTTTACGTTAGAAACGTCATTGCCTCCCCTGTAACTTATCGTATGCCCCTAAGTCATGGTTAATTGACTCTGAGAAATATCTCTGTGCCAACAGTTTATTCCATAAATCACTCAAACTTGAATACTGAAATGAATCCAGTGATCCCTACCCCTTTATTTTTGTATCTAGAAAACATTTCTTAACAGCAAAAATAAATATCCTTTTTAACCAAATAAGGTGGATAGAATTTTGCAACATTTAAATTTAAATGGAAATAGATTGCATTATGATTTTTTTCTGAATTCAGATACAATTAAACAAGTCCTGAATGCATACACACTTTCATAAAAAAATCTGAAATACTCCCTATATGCGTATCTTGGTAAAACAGCTAAATGCAAATGTGATGTATTAATAATCATACCAGACTAACATTAGATACTATATCTGTGAAGGAGTTTTTGCTTAATCAAATTATAACTATTGTACAGCGGTATACTACTGTTGCTTTTATTTGTATTAATTTTATTTTAGTAAAAACCATGTATATGTATTTCCCTATAAAAAATTGAAAACAACACGTTTAATAATTCCATGCGTCCGAAGCGCTTTTCTGGATTTACCTTCATCAGGAACGCTCAATGCCAAACATTTGAAATCCGAGGGATGTATAAATACCGAAACAGTTGAAGAGCTATATGACAAAAATACCTAAAACAAATAGCCAAATTCATCTTAGGTTAACTTTGCCTGAGGGAGTTGAAACCTTAGTTTCTTTATAATTTCAAAATTTATAAACGGACAATTTTAGAAAAGTTTGCTATAAATCATGTCAGTACCGAAGTATAAAAATCGTCTTGAGTTATAAAATGCACGACGGAATACAACTCTATTCAATTTCAAACTAAGTACATTTTTGGGAGGGAAATATTGCCATAAACAGAATTAATATTACAAATCAAATCGGAAATATTTGCATCGATACTTATGTATAACTTGATGCTGAATCTGAGTTGAGAGCCAAACAGAAAATGAGCAATCAATTTCATTTTTAAAGAAAGTGAATTAAACTAGACAAAACAGAAGCGGTTTAGGCGGATATTTAACACTTATCAGTTCATATATGCATGTTCACAATTTATGGACTTCGTTAGCAAGGGTGTGCTTCTTAAACAAAAACTGATTCAACGGAGTTTTAACAACGGAAATCAACACTACATACGTATAACACATATTACTCGAACAATACTATCACTAGAAAATCAAGGATGAACTGAAACTTGATTTTGATCTGAACAGCTTAACCAAAAATAATTAAGTAATGTTCGGTCCTTCGGTTAAAATTCAGACTTATCCACTGCCATTAATTCAGTAATTTTCAGCCAGTTCGCTTGCAGTCAATTAAGAAATGTGCAGTTTATGTTTAAACTCATCAGTAGTTGATTTTACCTGTACAAATCAACAACATACTGAATTGTCTTAAATGGTATTTGACAGTACTGGATTGACTACAAGAAAAATGTTTGAAAAATACTGAATTTACAACAAGAAAATATCAGAAAAATGATTTTAACTCTAAACAAGACTTTACGATTTTAGTCTCAAACTTTTCAGATGATAATAAGACCAAATGACCGTTTAAGGCTAACTTCTTTACTCGTTTATGTGTCTGTGTCTCAACTCACTAGCGCCAGGTTTTTGTGAATACAAGAATAGTCATCTTTTCTTTAATTTACCGAATGTGCCCCATTCTCGAATGAGACATTTTGACCGAGTGTTAATTCGCGTGGCGGGTGATGAATGCATAGCTGGAGACGCTTACCCTATCCAAGGATATATTGTAATGGATATGCCTGTTCATTATGAATAGTTCCTTTGTTCATCAATAGCGGAATATATAGTAATTACTTTGTCCGTCATCCGGACCTCACATTATCTGCATCTCATAAGTTTAAGAGAATTCTTGTCAAGTAACGACATTGTGGATCTATTTTTTATTATTATTATTTATATGTGTATTTACCAATCTATGCTGCTACTTTTAGAATTTGGGGTCTTGGTCAAATATTATAATCTTGGGGTAAACAGCTAACTGAAAGCAGTCCATTCTTTATTGATAACATTGTCAATTTTTGTAGTGGCAAAAAATCTGAAACCGATGTTTATGACGGAAAGGACACCCGGATATCATTTTGTTGTCCTAATTATTACACAGCTAATCAATTTTTAAAATCATACGGGAGGGTAAAAAACAGTTTGCAAGTTGCAAAATTACAAGATGGGGTATTATTAAATGGACATATAATAAAAAGTCTGCAAAATGAAAATTTCTGTCCATGAATTTGTTGCGTCGAAACGCTTTTCTGGATTAACTTTCATCAGATACCCTTTTAGGTAAATATATGTAAGCTATTGATCTACAAATACAGGAAGTTGTTGAGAGTTATATATGAACAAACGGGACATAAAAGGAATAGCAAAATTAGTCTTAGGTCAACTTTGACGGAAGGAGTCGTAACCTAACATTGTTTATAATTTCAAAGCAAATTCGTATATTTTTAAAATTTCATACAGGTACACCATTGAACAACCATACTGACCTCTTCCTCTATAAAGGATATCTTGGAAATTAGTAGCGTCTCTTAATCGATTAAAAATTGGACAATCGGCTTTTATCACAAGACCATACATTAATATGGTACTTCCATCGGAGCATTACTTGCGTATCATTTAACGTTAAATTAAGATATTTTAATTGTATATTGCCATTTTGGATTGTAAAATAACAGTACACAATCGGTCTAGTTATTTGCCTTAATCTGCAAATGTTGAGACAGAAAATTAATGTGTAGACTATTTTTTTGAATAAAGAAAAACAAATGATTTATTGAATTATTTAGACTGTAATTTTTTAACTTTGCCATTTAAGGTGAGATAACTCAAATAGTAGTTTTTTTCTAAAGAAATGATAAAGACATTTTCTTTTTTCACTTGTAGCGAGAAAACAAGTTCGCAAACACTATTTTTTCTTTTTATTTTCTTAAAGCAAATTATAAAACCTATCTTCTCACATCTAATTTCAAAATTTTATCTCATAGTTTTCGTTTTATTCACCATAAAAATCATAAAAAATAAATCTTTGTAAATTTGTACAATTTTTCAATTTTTGTAGCTTGAAAAATAGAACGGTCACCCATACTTATTATAATTGATAAAGCAGGGTACAATCTACATTTTGGCAAAGTATTAAAAAACTCTATCGGAGGAAATATATACCGATGATCCACCTAATGGGCATACGGTGAAGGTTGGTACCTATTCAAACCTTTAAACCCGCTGCATTTTTTTACACCTGTCCTAAGTCAGGAATCTGATGTTCAGTAGTTTTCGTTTGTTGGTGTGGTTCATAAGTGTTTCTCGTTTCTCGTTTTTTATATAGATTAGACCGCTGGTTTTCCCGTTTGAATGGTTTTACACTAGTCATTTTTGGGGCCCGTTATAGCTTGCTGTTCGGTGTGAGCCAAGGCTCCGTGTTGAAGACTGTACTTTGACTTATAATGGTTTACTTTTACAAATTGTGACTTGGATGGAGAGTTGTCTCATTGGCACTCATACCTCATCTTCTTATATCTATATACGATACAAATTTGATCCCACGGTGATTTTTTTATGAAAATTTGCAAATAAACTATTTTTCAGCTAGTCAATTCAAATATGTAATACAAATATACCTTTATGTGCTGCATAAAAAGTTAAATGGGTCGAAATATTACAAATTTACTCAAAATTTCGGTTTTATGGACATTTGTGTCCTTTGGATAGACATACCTAACTTTTTTGTTTAAAAGATAAACACTAGCGGATTTTTGTAAAAACATTTGGAAAATCTTCTTTACATAAGAATGCTTTAAATTTGTACAATTTTTTTTTTGGAAATAAATAATTTTTATCAAAGAGGGACGAAAGATACCAGAGGGACAGTCAAACTCATAGATTGAAAACAAACTGACAACGCCATGGCCAAAAATAAAAATACAAACAGACAAATAATAGTACAGATGACATAACATAGAAAACTAAAGACTAAGCAACACGAACCCCATCAAAAACTGGGGGTGATCTCAGGTGCTCCGGAAAGGTAAGCAGATCCTGCTCCACATGTGGCACCCGTCGTGCTGCTTATGTTGTTACAAATCCGGTAAATAGTGTAACTGGGTAGGTCACATTCGTGAAAAGGGAAGGATATTGTAGTTACGGCATAAGGAACATATCCGATATCATCTGTGAAACGGTTATTCCATGACGGTCAACCGACTCGTGATGGCGTCCGTAAAATTTACGAAGTGATGATTTCAACTTCACCATTTGGAACTCTTGGTTTAATAGCTTCCTTGTGAGCAGCAATCCTCTATCAAGGAAATCATGATAGGAAATACAAGCCCGGGAATATCGTATCAATTGGGAGATATATACTCCGTATGCAGGCGCTGCTGGAATGTTGCTACATAGAAATGGAAAGTTCACAATTGGGAAGCTGAAATCATCTCTTTTGTCGTAAAGTTTTGTTTTCAACCGACCCTCATTGTCAATTTCTAGATGTAAGTCAAGATATGAGGCAGATTTAACTGTATCTGTAGTATCCTTTATCTCTAGTTCGATGGGATAGATTCGTTCAACAGTCACCAAAGTTTGTATTATTTAGTGAGAGAACATTATCTATATAGCGGAACGTAAAGTTAAATGATATTGCTAGTTTCTTATCTTTCTTCCTAAGAAGTTTCTGTATGATGTCAGCCTCATAATAATAAAGAAACAAGTCGACAAGAAGAGGGGCACAATTGGTTCTCATTGGAATTCCGACAGTCTGTTGAAAAACACGTCCTCCAAACGTAGCAAATGTGTTGTCAATCAAGAAATCAAGCATCTCGAAGTTTCATGATTTTAGAAAAAAAACCGGCATTTTTTTCCTGTATATTTATCTAAATTAAAAAAATTTCCTCGGTGACTCTTACTTAAAAATTGGTACAAATAATCTTCATACTTAATCAAACCTAATGTCATTTTAAAAAAAGAGGGGTCCATGAACTTGTTTTCAAGTTAAATCAGTCGAAAAATGCATCTTCACCCGATATGTCACAGTTTGACGTCGCGAAAAATAACATTTTTCGTTAGCAACGTCATTACCTCCCCTGTAACTGTATCGTATGCCCATACATGTATTAGTCACATAAAGTTACACCAATTTTGCATTAAGTGCGGAAGTACTTCTTACTAAAGCTTGATTTATCTACTGCTTTATCTTCAAATAAAATAACATAATACATTTATAAAATTTCAATATTTATCACATTTTATTATAATAGTTTGATGTTTACATTTCTATACATGTTTCACATTGAAAATGTATAATTTCAACTAATTTTTCAAATAAACCAGGAGGGGCACTTATGATTTCTTCAATTACGTTGTTCTTTTATGAAGCAAATGATCGAAGGAAATGCCTCTATACTAGTAGAACGCTATTAGCGACAGTCGTGGTATCAGCTCAGATGTGTTGTTCACAGCGCTTGCAGTTGTTTAAGCAGTAACAGTACTGTATATTTTTCACTGTCACTAGCCAATATTTCAATTTTAAATGCAGCTTTCTTCTTCAAATACATATATTCGGCTTTTTGTTTTAAATCAAACGTTTGCTACAATAATGCAAACAAACTGTACAAATCAGGTGGGCTGAGCTGTTGCAGTTGTCAAATTTAACATTCTAATAATAGAAGTTATACTAGGTAATCACATCTACACTCATACATCCCTTCTTATAAACTTGATTCAGGTCAATATATACTTGTCTAGATATAAATAAGCGATAGGAAATACGTCATAATAATCTAAAATGGCGACCAGGATGGCACAAGTCCCTTTACAAAACTGTGAAATTTGTGAAAAAAATGTTGGAAGACGATATTGTATCGACTGCGAACAGTATTTTTGTAAGACCTGTGAAGAGTTTCATCTGAAGTCTAAATCATGCAGAAATCATGTATTTCAAGATTTAGAACAAATAAACCCGGAAGAAAAAAAGGTAAAATGCAAAGAACACAACGAAAATATGACCTATTATTGCACTACCTGTTCCATGCTTGCATGCAAGATTTGCCTCCCAAAAAGGCATACGAAACATGATTTTACCTTAACAAGCGAGGCAGCATTCAAACTAAAAACAGACCTAAAGGAAAAGATAGAACAGACGAAAATAGTTGTCGGATTAATTGAACAACAGAGGACAACGCTTGAAGGTAAAACCAACAAATTTATAAGATCGAACGAGAGATTAATACAAGCAATCAGCCAGAAAGGGAGTGAATTAAAGAACATTGTTGACAAAATTGTATGTGATAAAGTTGCTAATGTAACAACGGAAGAGCAAGTCAATCTACAAAAGAAAACCGACGAGGAACGTATTTTGAAAGATGCACAAGAAAAAGGAGAAATGATTGTTTTGAAAGTAACCAATGCTGTTGAAAACCAAGGAGACACGATTTTATTAAATTCGCACCAAGCACTACAGCAGGCCATGCAATCTATGCCGGACATCGTTAAGTCAGACATGGAATTTCCCGCTTTAACTTTCGAAGACGGATTGTTGAATGAGATAACATTGACCGAAATGATAGGGAGCGTGATGATATCCAAAACAGGTAATAACGTAATATCATGATTTTTATCACGATGTAAATGATTGAAGAATTAAAGGCGTATTAGATAATTGCACCCGTAAACTGGACTTCAATTGGACATTATCAAAATGTTTCAGCTTAGTGGGGTAACGATTGGCGAGTTTTTATTGTAACGACCCAATAAATAAGACGTCAACGAAAAGGGCGATACCAACAACAATTAAGTTTATATTATCAAATAGACAATGATCTACAAAAGAAAACTCAATGTCAAGTATGGTAACAAAAGCTATGATTCTATATACTCTATAGTATGTTTTAGTCTTTAGTCCAGTTACTTCCGAATGCATTATTAAGATTATAATCAAAGTATATCCAATGAATGATGTTAATTCCAATGTTCACTGTTCGATAAATCCAATACTTATTATAACAAAGCTAGCTCACTGCAGATTGTTCGCAGATAATAAAATTGAGAATAGAAACGGGGAATGTGTCAAAGAGACAACAATCCGACTAAAGAGCAGAAAACATCTACCAACGGGTCTTCAACACAGCGCGAAAATCCCTCTTCAACTGGTCCCAAACAATAATGTATACTTGTTCAGTGAAAATGAACGTCACATTTAACTTCGAAACAAATAAATGAAGCAAAATTTAAAAAAAAAAAACATACAGGACTATCAAAGGCTAGAGGTTCTTTACTTGACACAGGCGCAAAAATGCGGCGGGGTTAAACTTGTTTTCTGAGATCTCAATCACCCCCTATTCCTCTAGCTAATGAGGACTAAACAAACACACAGCAATACACACAGCAAAACTCAGTTCAAAAGAAGTTCAAGTCCGATGTTTGAATAGATATTTGTAACAGAAGAAACTAAGCAAAATGATAATGATGTTTATTCGAAGAGCAATTTTAAATTACCACATACATTTTTTTCAAAGCAAGTAATTATCTCCAAAACTAATAAATGTACTGATGAATATATTACAATCCACACTATCTTAGCACATAATATTATTTAAAACTGGAATCCTCTCTTCTGAAACTACTGGACCAGTGTGACCAAAACATCAATGGAGTATGTATCCAGTGATCCCGACTGAAAAAACCAATAAGCAGACATGGTTAAAAAAAGATCATAAGGGTAAAATGAAGTTTGGTTTTTCATATTGGAAACTGCTTTTGGAAGATAAAATCTGATAGGAGCAGAAATGTTCAGACCTTTCGGACCTACGTACTGTCAATTTACACTAAAAATGTCTGACGACTTCTTATAGCAGTTATTGCCCTTAAATGACGATTTTCCCCGAAATTGTTATAAGACTAGATATACAAACTAGTCAACAAATCCGAACGTAATTGTCTTGATGATCATTTTTACAAATCCGAACCTTAAATTAGTAATTGTCCTTAAAGGACGATTTTTCCAATTTTTGCGATTTTGCCTATTATCTTGAAAACTTTATTAGATTGAAAGTCAAAACCGCAAAAATGATCATCAAAACAATTATGTCAAATGACAGAAATTGTTGTCGTCTACTTATGTATCTGAGTAATTAACGAATGTCGCAATCTTTTGCGCTTTTGCCTATTATCTTGAAAACAACTATAACCATAATAGATAGAAAGACATTAAAAAATGAAAAAAAATTCAGTAGGACAAGATCTAAATATTTGTAAATATGTCTGCAATCGTTGGTCGACAGCCAAGAGGGGTTATTGTCCTTAAATGACAATGTTTACTTCTTTTTGTTTGCATTTTGCCCAAAACTATAATAGATATTTTAAAGAAAAACTATAAACAGCAAAAATGATCAGCAAGATAAGATCTGAAAATGTATCAACATGACGTTAATGGTCAGTCCTTATAGGAGTTATTACCATTTAATGGATATTTTTATCTCTTGTTTTGCATATGCTGCAAAATCTGTACTAGATAAAGAAAAATGTAAATAAGAAAAACTATCAGCAAGACATGATCAAGAAAAAAGAGATTTGAGTTGCGAATTATATTCTAGACTTCAATGTTGAAAATGAACAGAGATCTAGGTGAGCGACACATGGCAGGCTCTTAAGGAACTCTAGTATTCAAATTCTAACCTTAGTTCGTATCGTTGAACTTAAAACTGAGCGATATATATCAAAGGGACATTCAAACTCAAAAGTCGAAAATAAATTGACAACACCATGACAAAAAAAACCCCGAAAAAGATCAAAAGACAAACAACAGTATACAAAACACTATATAGAAAAGTAAAGACTGAGCACCACAAACCCTACCAAAACCCGGGGTTGATTGCAGGTAATTCGGAAAGATATGCAGATCCTGCTCCACATGTGGCACCCGTCGTGTTGTACAAACCCGGTGATACGTCTGTTTTGGTATGTCACATTCGAGGGTGAGAACGAGAACGGGATTGTGGTTACGACAATTGGAACATATCTGTCGTCTTCTGTGAAACAGATATTTCATAACTTCAACCAACTCGAGATGGCGTCCGTTAAACCTTCGAAGGGATGATTTCAACTTCACCGTTTGGAACTCTTGGTTGAAAAGTTCGTAACTGGTGAAGAGCAACCCTTTATCAAGGAGATCATGATAGAAAAAGCAAGCCCTGGAATATCGTTTCAGCTCGGAGATATATACTCCATATGCAGGTGCTACTAGAATTTTGCTACATAGAAAAGAAAGTTCATAATTGCGAATCCGAAATCATCTCTTTTGTCGTAAATTTTGTTCTTAACCGACCCTCATAGTCAATTTCTTGATGTACGCATAGATATGGGAGAAGACTTAACTGTATCTATTGTATCCTTTATTTCAAGTTCGATGGTATAGATGCGTTCAACATAGTCACCAAACTTTGAATTATTAAGTCATTTCAAATTACATAATTTATCGTACAGATGCGCACGTCAAGAACAGCAAACCACTTGAACATTAGCCACTCCTACCTACATAAAAACTTCACTGTATTAAAAAGTGGAAGAAGATACGAAACAGTACAACAAAAAAACATTAGTTGAAGAAAAAAAAACAGCACAATGGCCAAATGAAAAACGACGAATAGAAAAATAACCGTAACCAAGGCACTCGCATAAATCTAAAGATCGGGCATCAAACCAACAAACGGGGCTTACTAATTGCTTTGAAAGGATGGTCAGCTTTTTCTCCATTTGTGCCACTGTCGTGTTGCTTTTGACAAGTAATTTCAGATGATATGTAAAATTCAGCGATGTCAAAACCGAGGAAAAGATGATGAGATTTTGGTGTCTACAAATGGAACATAAATTATGTGGTCATTTATTACACAGATCTGCAATAATGATGACCAAAATTACGATGTTGTCAATAAAAGGATCGAATGGTTGTCTAATCTAACAATTATAAACCCTATGTTTACTAGCCTACTTGTATATATCATCCATCCATAAAGAATATCACATTTATAATCTGGTACATTAAAGTCATATATAATTCCTTCAGTTTTAACAAGCGACATAAGAAGACTCTGGTTATGGCCTGTTTGAATCAAAACATTCACCTTGGAATGTGCCTATGGCAATTGAGGAATATAACTTGGTATTGCCAGTAGACTCGAACTCGGTCTGTTACAATAAAAACTCTGTTTAATAAATTCGTAATCATTCCTTTTGTTTGTCGAATAAACATTTTGATTATTATATGACTCAGCGTAGTAAAAGCTTTCACATAGTAATGATAGTTCCATTTCAACATTGATTAACGTTTTAAGTCTTTTTATGAAATAATGCTTATCCATTGATTTTTTAAGTTTTTTTGCGGTTGCTGTTTAAATGATTTATACTTAATATCTTATTTTTTTCACATTAGATCTTATCATACATTTCTAAATATTTTTCATGAAATAATATAGTATTCATATCACTTTATGACTTATAAATAATTATGGGTAAAGAATATTGCTTTAAAGTGGCGAAGGACTCCTGCATTTTTCTTCTAGTTTGTGTTATATATTGAAAATTAAATATGATAGAAGGTGCCCGGTTGAAAGTTACACATCCCAACAAAAAAAATTATCAATATATTTGAAAATTATATGTTGATTTTTAAGCTCTGGACAGAGGATTGGACAAAAAACACTTTACAGAAGGTGCTCGGCTACAAGTAAAGAAACACATTCCGCCTACAACGTATCCAAATACGGCATTAGTGATAAAAATTAATTCAAAGACAACTCATGTTGAATTAATAAACTTTCTAGAAACCAGAACAAAACTTGATGTGGAGGAAGTATACTTTGCTGATAAGGATTCGCACAAGGCTGTTGTAACATTTTCTGGCCCAATAGGTATGTATTTTGAAGTGTTTCATCATTGGAAGCCACAACTTCAGGGAAACATGAAATTATTATTAACATTATCTAGTAGCATCTACAATAATATGGTTCAGATGTGCATGACACAGCAATATTAAAATGCTAGAAAATTCCGATATAAATATAAAGTTACTTTGTGTAAATTACAACTTTTAGTTGAACAATACGTTCACGTTTTCAAAATAAGTGTCAAAGTCTTCTCTGCTTGTTTGTAATTCACAATTTCGTGTCGTGTAAATGGTTATGTCATAGTATTTGATATTTCGTAAAGAAAATATATTCGAGTGATAGTTTGGAAAGGTTATACATTAAATGCCATATATTAGCTATAGTTCAACCTCCTTGAGGATTTGGTTTAAAAATGTGTGGTGAACTGATAACAAAAACATGCATCCTATGTTCCGCTTTCGGGATAATCATTGAATGTTTTTATGATCTAATGTCTAGATAACCTATTTTCCTGTAATCGGCATTGTTTAAAATTTTTCTACAAAACGAAATTCATAGATTTGTCTTAAATTATATGTGTTTTTGCTAGATATAAATTGTAAATTTTAAATTAATGATATGTATGTTGTCTTTTCACCAGATATTGAAGATATTCAAACAGCTTGTAAAAAGAAGGCTTTAGATGGAAACTACCTGACGGTTTATCCTGTGGTTGTAACAAATTGTATTATAGTCCGAGGTTTCAGCAAGAAGACGACGGAAAGTAAATTGGAATATTACTTTGATAATAAAAGGAGATCTGGTGTAGATGGCATTGCTGATATCAAAATGAATAAAGATGAGGATTACTGTTTGGTATACTTCGATAATGCTGAAGGTATATATATATATAGATTACAAATAATGGATATTTTTTTTAAGTATCCTTAAGAACTTGGTTATTTAATTAGAGTAAACTATGTACGTTAGTATATTTTATTTCTTTTTTAAAGATTTTTTGATATACAATATATTTCAAACTCTTACGTTGGAACTGTGCGATACTTTTTTGTTAATAATGTACAAATGCATTGGTTAGTTTTTTAGATTGATCATACCTTTTTCATATAAAAGTTAAAAGAATTTGCCGAAGTTTGTTTTTCTATGCTCAAATAATTGTATAAGAAACCAATCCAGTGCTATATATGACATTTCAAAACATCAATAAATATACTAATTATATATAACTCACTTTGATAAATGAAAGTATATGTAAAAAGTTGTCATACAAGGGTGAGTTTTTAAGTTTTCAATCAAACCTAGATTTCTTAAAATTTGCTTTAATAAGCAGGAGATAAGTTATAGCTATTAAAATGTCATTGTCTCTAAACCTCATAAGTTAATTGATTAGGTTGAGTTTTTCATTTCCCCCCTGTCATTGGAATAGCTTTGTTTAACTTAAGGTTACATTGGATTTTTATTTACTGATATGAGTATTTATTCGTGTGTTTGCCATCGTGATAAAAATTGAGTTCTATTTAATTATTATATATAATCAATTGATTGATTTGCTATAAACCTCTAGTGGTAAATATTTCACCTGGTCCAAAGGATTGTCAGTATTGTTTCTTTCATCTTTTAACATGAAATAATAAATACGCAATAACCTTGACATCAAGAGAAAAATATCTTTAGTCAAAGCACATATCATGCAAGTCATCAAAACAACTAAAATATATATAAGATAAACAATATCAGTTCAAAATACAGTATTTACACAAACTAAATTACATTTTAATATTATCACTTACGACAAATGCTTCAACAAAATATTCCGGGAATATCTTCTTGTAGTCTGTACACCTATTCAAATTTCTTCTGAAACCACTGTGGGAATTATCATTGTGGCCTCCACAATTACGAAAAGAAGATAGCTTATAAGCAATTAATTATAAACTTTGCATATCGTTCCACTTTAAATTCTTCAACGATCATCTCTCTCCGCAGATTCTTAAATTTGTGATATATATATATATACATAATTCTAGTGCACTTCTAAAGTATAAAATAGAAATTTTGAGCAATTATCGTTGTCCTAGATATCAAAGACTTTCGTATACTGCAATGTCATTTCATTAATTTCCATTGTGTGTCCACCGTTTGTCTATCCATCTATTAATAAAATTCTTCAACTTACTCTGCTTGTGTATTCAAAGGACATTCATTACCCGCAAAATGCATTACCACCGAATTGTCCCACACTCTTTAATTTGTTTAACAAAATATTTGATTCTTAATGTTTTGCCAGAATTTCGGATAGTCCATATAAATATATAGATAATACGTGAAATCGAAATTTAGTATCACCATTTCGTGTGTACTTTAGGCATAGACGCCATGTTATTAACCCTACAGATTACCTCCGAAACTGCAGATGATCATTTGATCTGTTATCAACATAAACATGAAAATAAATAGACAGACGAGTACCATGAGGAAATACGATAATATTATGAAGATATGTCTAGGTCGTTTTAATTTCATGTCATAGATTACACAATATTTAAATCATCGTCTTATTTTTAAAGAATGATATTCATGGGCCGAAGCAGACGACAATGAAATGGTTCTTCCTAGTGGTGCCCATGTTTAAGTTCTCAATATTGACATAAATGAAATAAAATGAATATTCTGAGCTCATGCGGAAGCCATTTCTAACTAAGAGCCAAATTAAACGTTGCAGGATAGGGTCGAATTACTGTCTTACAAACCAATAATATATCAGTGAAGTGTTTTGGCTTAGTATTTAAAAATACTGACCCAAACTGTCTGCTAATAGTGAATTCTTATTTCAATATTCCATTTTTATATTCACAAATGCGATGCTTCTACTTTCCAAATGTAAGCTTCCCATTTCTCAGCAGTAAAATATCCTTTGTCCCATAGTATGAATAATAAAATGCTCCTAACATAAAGACTGATCAAACAAATTCCGAGGAAGAACGGCTGATATTAACACAACATAAAGTTTATGATTATTACCACGAATTGGCTGACCGAAACGACATGTCTATGTCTCAACTCACAAGATACAAGAAAAATTGTATAATCAATAATTCTATTGATTGTGTTCTATTACAGATTTTGTATTAGTGTCGATTTCCATGCATCGTAGGGGACGGTTACCAGTCTTGTTACTTTTTGGAAGTCATGCGATTCTCTGAGCTTTTATTTGTTACTTTCATTTGTTTTCTTTTTCGATGTATGAGATTTGAACATCGATAATCTGCTGTTTCCTTAACGTATCAATGTTTGAAACCAACAAAAAGCAATCTTTATTTTTTTGTTTAAATCGTAGCTATTGCTATTTTAAGGAATTGTGTAATCTTTATTCTAAAATTTGATAAAATTGGCTTACATTACATAAACGATTTAGACACCTGTTACCTCCTATTTGACGAAATTTGATTTCTCAGTGTACCCATTTACTGCAAAAACTTTGTGTTACATAACATTCAGCGTTTGCAATTAGGAATGACATGATAACTAATAAGGAACATTATGATGTTTAGGTTACCATTTTTAAGTCTACCAGGTAGTAACTTCCAGTTTGCCGATGCTTTGAGATTTTAAAAATTACTTATTTTACCCACTGAGCAAGGATTGCGTCCATTCATTTCTCATAAGAAGTGGGATATGGGCTGTATATATGAATGTGTAAATCTTTGTTATCAAACATTTCAATTTTCATTTTGATCTTTTCAAATTTTGAAAACATGTTGTACATCTAAATGAAATAAGCAAGATATAATAATATATAAAGGCCTGCTCATTTATTTGCTTGAATGATCGGTTGATATTAGGGACAGCAAAAGTAAAAGCCATTTCGTAATCATGATAAAGATAAAAGATCTTTATGTTATAAATGAAATCCAACCGGAAAGATATTTTGAATTCAATTAAAAACTTATAGAACTTGAACTATTTTTATATTATTCTTCCAGTCAAAAGTAACATTAGTATAAAAAACATAATTTGTATTGTAGATGCTTTGTTGGCTTGTGAAAGATCACATACCATTTATAACTGTAAACTTAATGTTGAGGTCTACTATGATTGTCTTGGTGTATCAGTAGATAGTGAAAGACTAAAGTTCAAACCATTGCCTCCTTTAATTCTGTCAGACATCGACATATATAAAGTTCAATTCTTGGCCCGTTCTACACAATATAGAGAAATGCTTGAACAACAGCTTGAGCTAAGTCATGCTAAAATAACGTGGCCATCATCCACGAGTGATTCTATGATTGTTATAGAGTGCACCTTAACCAAAGACACAGAAAACTGTAGAAAACTTACCAAGTCCTGGGAAGAGGATATCAGAAAGAAATTATGTACACATGTTGATGCATTGGTTACAAAGAAACATACTACACAACAGGAAACTTGGAATGATGTCATGCTAAAACTACGACAAACTGAAATTTCAGATCCTAAAAGTGTTACCGTCACTGTGGAGAAACCACCTATTTGTGGAATTATTATTGTTGGTCATGAAAAAGCAGTGAAAGAAGTTTCTGATATTATAAAACAATTCAGTAATGAAAATGCATGACCAAAAGAAGAAACCTCATAGAATAACCAAATTCATCTTCGGTTAACTTTGCATGAGGACCTTGGGTAGTATAAACTGTAATCGTAAAAAAAATGTGTCTTGAGAAGAAACTTCACCAAGAAAATTAGCTTTCTATAATATCTTTGTTCTAGCCTTTCGCATGTTAATTTTTACAAAGAAACCACTGGTCCAAATTCAACCAAACTTCGTCAAAATAATCAATGGGGTTCTAGTTATAAAATTTTTTGATGACTTAGCCTGCCGAAAAACATGGCCGACATGGCTACAAATAGAACAGAGGGGTAAAATGCAACTTTTGTTAAACCGCTATAGATAGAGAAAATCCGACAAGGGCAAACAAGTTCAGAATGATCAGATCTAAATAATGTCTATTGTCGTTAAACATCTTATACGAGTTATTGCCCTTAAACGACGGATTTTACAAACTTTTTTGCTTTATTGCCTTTTATCTTGAAAATTTTCAAAGATAGACAGAAACTTTAACTAGCATAAATGATATGCAAAATAAGATCTACATTGTAGATTCTACAAATAAGTAAAATATAACGGAAATTGTCAGTCAACACCTTTTTGAAGTTATTGGCCATATTGACAGTTTTTTTCTCAAATTTGTTTTTGCCCTCTAACCCCTACTTTTCTTATTTTATTTACTTTATTACATATAGTTTAAAAAGCCATATTTAAGAATCTAATAAAACCCTTGTTAATTTTTCATAGTTTTTGAAAGAAAAAAGGAGGCAATAACAAATGAATGAAAAGTCTAAAATGAATCATTTACAGTCAACTTTTCAATTTCTTATATCTCAAAAACAAGGACACAGACCCTTCGTTTAGTTCTGTTATTTATAAACTATCAATGTATAACAGTCTTTTAAAAAGCTTGTTATTTTGAAACAAAGTACTGTAGCGAACATCCTTAATAGATAGATAGAAACTTTAAATAGCAAAAATAATCAGCAAGACAAGATCTACAAATAAGTACGATTAACGAAATTATTAGTTTACTCCTTATTGAAGTTATTGCCCTTTAATGACGATTTTTTTCCCCAATTTTTGCTTTTTTTGTCTATAATCTTGAAAATTATAATAGATAGATAAACACATTAAATGAAAAAAAAGATCCCCATGACATGATTTATAAACAAGCCAATATGGCCAAAATCTCAACTCAACTCATTATTGGAGTTATTGCGCTTAAATGATAATGTTTTCCATTTTATTTTGCATGTTTTGCCTATTATCTTGAAAAGTATTATAGTTAAATAGAAACTTTAATTGATATAGTTATGTTTTTTTTTATAGTGATTAAGATTAATTCATCATTTTCTATATAAGGAAATGCCTGTACCAAGTCAGGAATATGACAGTTGATTTCCATTCGTTTGATGTGCTTGAGACTTTTATTTGCCATTTGATTAAGGACTTTCCGTTTTGATTTTCCTTTGAGTTCGGTATTTTTTTTTTTTTTTTACTTTTTTCTTTTAAAAAAGATAATTGATCAGCAGGATAAGATCTACAAATACGTCAAAATGAAGGTCAGTTAATCTTAATAGCGATTCCCCTAGATTGATGATTTTCACTAATAAATGGCCATTGTTGAAGATACAGGTGAGCGACACAGACTCTTTACAGCCTCTAGTTTCTCCGTTTGAAGTTATTTTACTGATTTGCAATAGCATAATTGTAAAATATCTTCGACTATAAATTACTATCATCTACCTTTATTGGTGTGGGAACGGAACTTAGCGTGTTTTTTTTTTTTTTTGTCATTCAGGATACTGTCAAGTGGGGTTCCGTCATTCGACAAATTAACAAGTTGCTAGATGGAAAGTTTGATGAATTCACATGTTTCTATATTAAGTTTTTGTCTCAAGTATTGATAACGAAAACATTCTACATGTAAATATAATACGGTTTATCTCATTTATAAGATAAACCAATTTAATGAAAGAAAATTGATTAATGCATCTTTCGGATCCGTATCTCGTCTCCCACTAATCAACGTCACGTGACTCTACAGCCTTACATTGAACTAGCCACTCTTGTAGATATGTGAAAGTTTCAAAAAGGCAATCGTAAAAAAATCAATGATATCCGCATGTCATATTCCAATATGTTGATATGAAACTACCGAAGAGGCCTGGTAATCCTCCCAAGAAAGGATTTTCATCAGCCAGGACCAGCAAATGAAGAAATGAAAAGGCAAACGTAGACCACTCGATCCGGTGCCTTCAAAACGAGGAACACTTCCAGCTTCTTCCGACATGTATGGATGTGTAAAGATCATAGAACAATGTAATTCAAGTATCTTCGCCAAAAAAATGTATACAATGGATCAAGGACAGGGACAGCTTCCAATTTGTCAGTGGCTCATAGACCGATGATCAATATCATGGCAGACCCAAATCATCAGGAGCCCCTATTTATTCCATTCAGGGTCCAGCAAGAGACACCACAAGGAAAAAAACGACGCAACGAGGAAAACAGTTCAAGAAGAATTTCTGATCCAATGAATTCACAGCCTGGTCCTAGCGGTTTGCAGATTTCGTCAAACAATAATATTGGTATGTTGAATTTATCTAATCAATTTAATTCACCAGTCCTGAGCTTTTTCTAGTTCGTTTGAGACTCGTTTTCAACTTTTTATATTTAAAGTGTTTTCGATCCTATCTCATCTCGAATTCCGGTCAAAAAACAAAGTGTCAAAAAAAAAGGGAACAGTGAGTTCATTGACCTGTATATACATACTTTTAAAATCTACTCCAATTTAATTAGAGGGTGGTGTTTTGTTCATAGACATAGTTATTAAATTGGTATTTATCAATTTACAGCTCATAATAAATAATAATATCTAAATCTCAAAAAAAATAAAAATTATTATTTAATGTCACTTATTTAATTTACTATGTATGGATTTAGTAATGAGCATTATGATTGCACTATTTATGTACAAATATTCTATATCACCAGTCGTTAGTAATACACACGTAGCGCTATTATACACATGAGTCATGATACACACAAGGGCAATAAGTGCAAATATCTTCAACCCTCATCTCAATTTAACGTTACCACTTAAAATATTTATTTTAGTATGATAATGCTAAAATCGTTATTTAATATTATCATTTAAATCATCACTTATACATAACATATAGGAACACAGTAGTAAAAAGATATCTTACTAGGTTACCAACAATTAAACTTTAAATTATTATCTAATAAAATAATACACTTATAGTGTTAGATGGTTCGGATGACGTTGTAAATGAAATACACTAATTAACAGAATTAATTGGCTTAGAGTTATGTATACATGTGTAAATTCTTTGTACCATTCATAAGTCTTATAAATATCTCTTAATGTTGAAAAACATAGCTCGGCAATATTAGAGTACATAATTTATGCCGTCAGTTTTCTCGTTTGACTTGTTTTACATTTTTCATTTCGGCCCGTGGCCTTTTATAGCTCACTATGCGGTATGGGCTTTGCTCATTGTTGAAGGCCGTACGATGAAATATAGTTGTTAATTTCTGTGTCATTTGGTCTCTTGTGAAGAGTTGTCTCATTGGCAATCATACCACATCTTTTTTATATTGAGTGATATACATACTTTTCATCTCTTAAATAGAGTTAATATTATTATACAAGCAAAACAGAGTTGATATATTCAAAAGAGACTTCAACAGATATTATTACTATTGGTATCGGTTATTAAGATAGTTGACAAAAACTCATCTACCGTTGTTTTGGATAAGAGTATATATATATAAAACAAACACTGAACTTCCGGAACAACAGCATAATCTACTCTCTACACTACACTTCCACACAATCTAATAAAGAAAAACTTTTCATATCTAATAAAATGGTCTTTCGAAAAATCTCATTGTAAATTTATTTGCTGTAACTCGTTTAAAGCCTTTTTCTGTGACGAAAAAGGAAAGTATGCTAGATACACTTACTGGAAATGTGAGGATATGATTGAAGCTTTAAATTTTCTCCTAGATAACACATATGTACGTTTCGGCGATAAAGTGTATCGTCAGGTAGTAGGTATTCCTATGGGCACTAACTGCTCCCCTTTAATAGCAGATTTATTTCTGTATTGCTATGAATCTCAGTTTATGACCAAATTCAGTAGAGACACATCATTGTTACATTTGGTTGATACATTCAACAATACCTACCGTTATCTGGATGATATTTTTTCGTTAAATAATCCAGAGTTCTATAAATATACTACCGAAATTTACCCCAAAAAACTTACTTTAACTAAATCTAACATAAACAGCAGCAGTTGTCCTTTTCTAGATTTAGACGTTTCAATTTCTAAAGGGAAACTCCATACTAAAATTTACGACAAAAGAGACGATTTTTCATTCCCTATTGTTAATTTTCCTTTTTTAGACGGCGATGTGCCTTTGGCTCCATCATACGGTGTTTATATATCCCAACTCGTTCGTTATGCCCGTGTGTGTAGTGATGTCATAGATTTTAACGAACGTAATCAATGCATCACTGGTAAATTATTAAGTCAGGGATTTCTTTACCATAAATTACTTAAAACTTTTACTAAATTATTTCAAAGATACAAATATTTGATTAGTAAATTTGGCTGTACCTGTAGAAAACTTATTAAAAATGGTATTTCACATCCTAAATTTTATGGTAATATTGTACTTAAAGCGCGGAAATCATTATGTGATCCGTGTAAACTCATCGAATCTTTAAACTAACTTATTAGTAAGGGTTATCGTACCAATGTTGTAATTAGATCTCTGAATATAGTTTACATTGGCACTAATATCAATTTTGCTATTAGCAAATTAAAACATAACTAAATTTGTATTTTCTTTTCAAACGGGATGTATAGAGACACACACGTTCATTTGTATCTATAAAGAAGTCACTCCTAACTATCCTACTACCTGTCGATACATTTATTTTTGGCATTGCACAAGTCATGTCTTCTTTGACTGTTCATGACGTTAAAATACTAAATCCCTGTATTTTAGTTGATTTCAGTCTCTGTTGCATGATTTTTTATTATTAATTGTTTTGGCTTTTAACTAGCTGTCAGTGACTGCGAATACTCTCAAATCGTAATTTCTTTTTAATTTGACCTGTTGATACTATTTATAATGCTTTTTTGTTATTTAATGGTAAGATGGATCTTGTCTATATACCAGCTTTGATTTTTTGGTATTTAATTACTACAAATTTTCACTTCTTCGTACTATGAACATCAAAATTATTTCATTTTTCCTTAGACGCTGTTCTTGGACCTGTACAGGAAGTTTTATCTAGCACTAATTGTACATTTTTATTGTTGATATTCACCCCATATGTACCAAGCGTTAGATTAGTTTTATTGATATTAATGAAATTTCTTGGTATTCCTAAACGGAAGATTTTATACACACAGAAGAAGAAGTATACTTAACAACAAAATTATTTTCATTTACCTGTGTATAATATGACGCAGGTTTCTTCAAAAGTGATGATTTTCTATAAATTGTTTGAAATTTCACAGTGATATCATACTTTAACTTTGTTTAAACCTGTTTATTTACTTTTAACTTTAATTATTTATCCCTTGTAATTTTTCATTAACTGTGTATTTGCATTCAGGTGTCACAGATCAAATTTATTCGTTCATTGTGTGTTAATTTACGTTTTTTGATTGAGTTAAGCCTTCCAATTGATGTTTTATAGTGTGTTTTTCTATGTTGTGATGTTATACTATTGTTTCAGAAAAGGGAGAAGGTTTGGTACCATTAAAACGTTTAATCCCGCTGCAAATGTTTGCACCTGTCCTAATTTAGGAATCTGATTACAGAAGTTGTCGTCTGTTTATGTAGTTCATACGTGTTTCTCGTTTCTCGTTTTTATATAGATTAGACCGTTAGTTTTTCCGTTTGAATGGTTTTACACTAGTAATTTTTTTGGGGCCCTTTATAGCTTGCTGTTCGGTGTGAGTCAATGCTCCGTGATGAAGGCCGTACCTTGACCTATAATGGTTTACTTTTATAAATTATAACTTGGATGGAGAGTTGTCTCATTGGCACTCATACCACATCTTCCTATATCTATGAATGAATTAAATACGAACAAAATATCAGACACTATTCATGAAATGATATATAAAACAATTACACAAGAAAGAATTTATCGACGACATAACATATAAATACCTAACGAACAATGCCAAAATACGAGTTGGACGACCCTATATGTTTCCAAAATAAAAATCACATTATTAATCATGAAGAGAG